ATGATTGTAATTCATCTCAAATTTTAAAATAATTGGTAACATTTATTTAGTTTTTAAAAATAATTTACTGTTAATTATTTTGTTAAAGTTAACACATTTTTGCTTTAATAAAGTAAACATTTGGATAAAATTGTTGCTAAGTTTTTTTTCTTTCTGGTTTTGTCCTGAWGCAGCTCATCTCATCTTATACTTTTGTTTTTTTCGTATTGTTTTTTGTGAAGTTGGTCTTAAAATAAGTTTCAAATGGCATTAAATAGGTCTTAAAAAGTCTTAAATTTAACTTGTTTTAAGCTGTAGGAACCCTGAAAATAGACTTTCATAAAAGAAAAAAGTTTTATCCTCTTCTTATCCTAAGCTTTGGGTGCTCTACTTATTTAAAGTACGTTTTTTATGTCATCTATGGTATGCAAACACTCTGTTAGATCAATTTCACACTTGATGACAAACCTACAACGACAAAAATGTTATATAAAATGATWTATCAGCATTGACATCGGTATCGACCAATATTAGAATATTTGTATCGGCTTGATAAGTAAAAYTGGATCAATATTAATGTTTGATATTGATTTCCCTCTATTTAGCTTTGTGTTTCCGTATTGGGAAGGGAAATGGTCGGGTGGCACAGCCAGGAATAACTGATATAGAGAACAATGTCAGCGGTCTGGTCATTTTTTTCAGGTATTGAAAAAAAGACACAAGTGTATTTGTGCAAATATGCAAATAAATAAATTGTGTGTTTGTGTAATATTTGTAAATATCAGTTATCAGCCAAAACACCAATAATAACATTGAACTGGCTTAAATTTTCATATCGGTGCCTCCCTACAAAAAACTATTTGTAAAGGTCTTTAGTCCTTAGTTGCATGATAAAAAGGCATTGAACATAATAGCATATAAGGTATTTTCTCGGAAAGCCTCAACAACTAAAGATTATTGCACATTAACACAAAGATAATTTGTTTTTGAACAGAAGCTGCTCTTCATTTTTACGGAGGRCTCCAATGCTTTTTTAGACAGATATTCCCATGGTTAACCATAAGTGATGAAGTCCACATAATGCTTATATCCAATTTTGGGCCTTTTTGGTGGGTTTTCGTCATTTTTTGCCTTTAGCTTTTCCTTTAAAATATATTTCCATTTCTCTAACTTTTGCTAGTGGCTGGCTAAGGCATACTACCACTAGCGATGAGACATTGAAAACCAATGACTCATCAGCAGCAGCATCTGATCAATATGTGATCCATGATGTGATGTAAATGTAACATTTTCTACATATAGGTCAAATTAATCTCCGAAATGAAATAACTTTGTTTTTGTCACTTTTACGGCATTACAGAAGGGAAAGTTCACCAAAGTGAAACATAAATCTGTGGATCTGTGTTTGATTAATCTGGCTGGCTTTCTCAAGGACCAGGATGTTTGACACAAAAATCTGAATAATGGAACTGAAAGTGAAAGTAGTCAAACTGAATTTTTAATAAACCAAAATACAGTTTCAAATCATTAAATTCAGTTTAAGTTTAGTAAAATTAATTTTCAAACCAATGCATTCACTTTTAAATTATGTACATTCAGATTCAGCCTGAGCAATTCAAATTCAATTCTTGCTGGCACAAGATTAAGCATCAGTATCATGCATCTTGATACTATCAAGATACAGCTATAAAAGAAGTTAGGTTTTTTTTATAATGCAATCTGGCGATTTTCTTATAGGTCATCACAAAAGGGTCATAATCCTGTTTGAAGAGGATGCTAAATCAATAAAGTGTAACCCAAATCTGCTGCACTTCATACTGTGAAACCTTTCTGTTTCAATCAAGCAGAAAGGGAGAGAAAGACCAGAGGGAGAAGAAAAGGGACAAATGTGTTTCTGTAGATGGAATGTCAACAGAGCCTTCACAAAATCTCTTCTAGGTTCTGCTTTAGTGTCAGCAGAGATGACTGGAAATGCTTACACTTAAATAATTTAAACTAGAAATCTTTACAGTTGTGTAAACCAGTTGGCCAGAACCTCCTTCAGTCGGCAGCAARCAGCTGAGAGGGCACAGCGACCGCTGCAGCGCTGCAGCTAATGCGTGGTGATGCCTCCTACACTGTGAATGGAAAGCCATGAATATAAAGTGTTGCTTTGGACCCTCCATTGTGTCGAGCTGACAGCTGCTGGGCTGAGAGGCTGTTGTTCAGCAGGGCCTGATGGTGCTGTCTCACCGGCTGACTTCCTCACTCTTAAACCTTCTTCCAGCCATTTATGCTCACTATCACACTTCTCTTAATCTCATTCTCCACACCGTCGGTGTGCTGATAGYAACGAGCTACGTGGAATTGGCTGCTATTTTCAATCTGAGAAAAAACAAACTCCCCTCAGACTTAATGTTATTTCTATGCAGATAAGCCACAAATTTACAATTCAGCTTATGGAACTGATCTCTGCGCTGTTAGAGAGAAGGAAGGAGGATCGGTTGCTATGAAGACTATTCCCTATTTTTTTACTCCAGGCCTTTTCACATCATGCTCTAAATGTTTTATAGTTAACAGAAAATAACCTGCATAGCCTCAGGTTTTTGTGCTTAGGATTTACAGCYTTTTTGTTGGGTTAAGCCTATGTTTTGTGGAAATAAAAACAGGTTTTCATCTAACATATTGGGCCTCCACCACACAAATTGACCCTGTAGCAACCGAGTAAGGTCAGTTATGACCCCAGTTATAAGACATTTTGTGCTGTTTTATATGGAGGACCGAAAATGACATAATTAGAAATAAAATCTAAAATATATAAATTGACTAATAATAAATAAATCACCTAAAATGCAAAAGGAGAACTTCAATAAATTATACATTTTACCAYGTAATTTACATTTTACTGTTTAAAAAGCTTTTTTTTCCTTTTATGGATACATTTGTGTCTCTTAAATGATTATATTTAATGTCTTTTTTTACTATTTTCCCACAAATCCTTTTATTTTCTATGTGTTTCTTTTACATTTCTCCGTCTCCTGTATTTACATTATCTTATGCATTTCTGACTCTATGTAAATAAGGTGGGCGGTCCTTCTCAGGTCAGTTCCTCTCCTATTGGTCAAGAGACAGGAAGCAGCAGGATATGCAGATCCACTGTGCGTGCTGCTGCCTCAGTTTAGCTTAAGGTTTAAAGTTTAGTTTAAAACGAAGGCAAGAAGGAAAACACTTACCTGTGCCTTTGTTTTAAACTAAACTTTAAGCTAAACTTTGCACCTTTTTTATTTAATTGGTGCATTTTAAATGTATTTATTTTTTATTAGTCCATTTATATATTTCTGCTTTTATTTCTAACTATGTCAGTTTCAGTCCTCCATAGTTTGAATGTTTTTTATGAGAACAATGTTTCTATTAAATGAACTGGGAGCCAGTGATGAGATGCTAATACAGGTATGATGTGAGCTTAGATCTTCTAAAAACCTCAAGTAAACCTGCAGCGTGAGAATAGTAAAGTTGGAGACACAACTTTTAGTTTTTTGAGTAATGAATGTAAAATCATAAAACAGATGATTTTTCAAACCAAATGAAACCAACTGAACGAAACCTTTGCTCAAACTCCACAAAGGTGACAGTTCAAAGCTTACAAGGGCTCATCTTGCTATTTTTTGTGTCCCACCTTCTCTTTTTCATTGTCAACAATAAATTCAGTTCAAATTATCCGACTGCGTTCAGATTTGACTCCAGAAATTCAAACGTGTTTGTCTGCGACTGAGGTTGTGTTGAGTTGGTACCCCCCACACACTAACAGGTTTTTTCTGCCATCCAGCCCTGTTGACTGTCCTAAACTAATGCCCTCCAGGAATCATGAGTAAAATGTTGCGTATCCTCAAATGTAGGAATTAAAACATTGGAAACTTGAATTGCGGAGAATAATTCTAACATTTTTTCTCATTTAGTAGAGAGATGCTAAAATCGGGGCAACATCTCTTGTTGTTTTGACAAACAGGAACATGTTTAAATGAATGCTAATGGCTGCCAGGCTAACTGGGATGTCTGCGTGTCCTCTGGCCACCCCTTCATCTTTATTAATTCTTCCCCTTTCATCTGGCGTCCTGCGCTCCCTGTCATCTTCCTCTGTCCCTGCTGCTCATTACGGCTCCTTATCGCAGCCTGAGCAGGGCGTGGAGATGGTTTCATAATGACTGAAAAACACCGGGAGATGTGAGCGCGATGCACTGAGGACTTCACGTGCGGTTGAGCACACAGTCCTGCAGCTGAACTCTGACAGTCTGAAGAACGGACCAGGATTTGTTTGGACTGGCTGATTGTATTATTATTATTTCCTTTGTCGCAGGCRTGTCACCTCTTGCTGCAACAAGGTGATTCAGCCCGTTCTATGCGTAAACATTATATGCCAGCTGTGATTTGTTTATCTTTTGTGCACATTGAAATTACAGCATAACAAAGCACTTTTCTGCCTTTTTTGATGCACCTACAAAACACTCAGAATTTAAAACAAGGTTGTTGTACAAAAACCCAATCAGATAAAGCAAATCTGTGTGACACAGGCAGTCATTTCTTCAGCCGGTCTCTGCAGTGGTTTGCAGCGTTTTGTCTCTGTCAGCTTTTTGAGAGCTCCTCAGCTGCTCCAGATCCCCTACTCAGAGTTACGGCGCTCACCTTACAGAATAAAACATGACATATAGCAACGGCCCTCGCGGGCCAGAGGGTGGCTCTCAGTCATCAGAATGTGCATTATTTGGCTGAATGTAAATTGTAGTCAGAACACAATRAAAAGAACAGTTTTTTTGTCCTTTGTTTGGCTGATAGCAGGATGACTCGACTCACACGAGTCTGGCAGTGATGACGGACGACAGCTTCACTCGTTCCCCCCGGCTGCATCCACTGCTGTTATTAAAAGCTCTTCCTTCAAGTTCTCTCTCAGCATTGTTCGCTCACCGCTGAGCCCACCGCTCTGCGCTGCTGAAATCTGATAAATGTGTGTGTCTCATCTTTTACCTCGTGTGTCTTCATATCTTCAGGTACACAGAGGAGGAGATCCGACAGAAAGTGAGCACATTCAGACAAATGCTGATGGACAAAGAGGGCGTTATCACCAGAGAGGGATCTCACACGCAGTAAGTTCAATAAACATCAGTTTGATTCTGACAACAAAAATACTATCTGCACGTGTACATCACAACACCTGTGGACATGTACTGGACCCAACAAGGGGGTCTTTAATGGTCTAATTGTTTAAACATTGCACTGAATACAATCGGAGCACGTTGGTGGATCACTGCAACAACTTCTGCTTTAATTCAGGTTTTCACAGATTCTTGTTTGCAGTTTTTTGATCAGGTGGGCGATAATGATTTGTCTGCATCTGCTACCAAAATATCTCATCAACCACTGGGCAGGTTTTATAGAAACATTCAGAAAATGATCCACAACTAATTCACCTTTGGAATCAACCTGATTCAAAAGGGCCACTGAATCTAACTGACCTTAGCCAAAAATGACTGTAACACAGTCAGATTTACAGATATTGAGCTACACTTGTGATGTGATCATAGCTGAGGGTCACACTCAACGCACACTTCGAGATTACGCAAGATGTTGTTACATCCCATGAGACTGAAAACTTTACTTTCAAGGTTACACCAAAATGGTTACAGCTCTGTAATTTTTCATCCTAAGAGGATTTTACTTTGAAACTCTGGCAAGAAAGGCAGCAGACAAGCAGATACGCCCTTAAGATAACGGTAGGTATTTTAGATATAAAATGCATTTATTTATTTATTTAAAAAAATTCTGTGTATAATTGTAGTAATTCGCCCATACCTTTGCCTAATTTTTCTTACTTAAAGCTGGTTTATTAGGCAAATGTTGATGACATATCAGTTAATCAGTTAGGTCATCTTCACACTGAATGACAGCTGTGACCAAATTCAGAGGCTGCTTACCACACAGCGCCGCACTGGAGACTGTCCACATTCACAGCCACTTTTTTCCGGTCTTCGTGGTCGACCAAGGATCCCAGCCCACCTAGACTGGGTAGGTCGGTCCTTTGAAAGACCCAGCCCGTGAATTTGGACACAGCTCACAACTCAGTAAAAAAAAATAGAAAAACAGAATGTGGATGGTCTTTGTACATTGTTGAATAGATCCTCAGGCCTGTATGGRCACAGCGAGTTCCATTGTTTGTGATAAATTGTGATAGGTTAGGTTTTTGAACAASCACAAGACTTTCATAATGAGGTTGTGATGGTTTGTTAATATTCAAGTATTGGTGTGGTTTGTTTGTCAGAAGCAGGGCTGGTTGTGGTCCTACACACATCACATCGCTACAATCAATAGAATGCTCTTGCCAAGAGGCTGCAACAACCAATCCACACTCTCCATGTGTCGATAAATACCATGCCATGTTTGGCCATYCTTAATTCATCTTTTGAATGAAAACCATGGAGTCCTTGGGTTGGCCTGCTGAAAGAGGAAGAAAGAAAATTAGATGTTGTGATTCGGCCACAGCGAGGCTAAAAATGATGGTGGAGCCTCAGAAACTGTTCTGCAGATTGTGATAAGGTCGTGGAAATAACTAAATGCTGTTCAAACCAAAGGAGATTTTATAGAGTGCACAAAAGCTTTATTCATATTATTTAAATTCTTTAGTTTGATTACTTATTTTTAAATGGTAAAAGCCCAGTCTTCTCATTAAAATGATTTAGTAAACTCTGCTTGAAGCGAATGTGGTGATGATTAGTAATGACTGTCTTTTTTAAAGCACCTAATCTTTGAGAAAAGGAAAAAAGAGGAATCAGGTGTGATTCTATRAAACAAGTGTGAAAAGTTTCGTTCCAAGTCACAGAAAACCCACACAAACACATTTGTAAAGATCACAGCCACAGCTCCCCAGAATGGTGTGAAAAATGATTAGAAATGTCAACAGCAGGATGTGACCTCCTGAGTCTGTGAGCCTCTGGGACAGGTGGTGTGGTGCCAACCTGACCTGCTGTCTGTCAACCTATGACTGGTAATGAAGTTCATGCTTCCATATATGGCGTCCGCTGACATTTAACTAGAACACGATGAAATGAGGAYGGCTGAGGGATTCACTCACAATGTATGTACATAACAATGGTTTTGTTGACATTTATGGCCCAAAGAAAGTGAACTCTAAACATACAGAAAAGGTTTGTTTCAGTTTAGTTTTCTTCTTTCAGTGATATTTCTGAATCATACGAGGGTCGTCAGCAAGGCCAAACCCTCCTAAGCAGTTAGCTGTGTCTGAGTTAGCTGTAGCTTTATCATCATCAACAATGTCCAGAACAGTAGTTTCAAAAGTTTGCTCCCTACCAGCTGCCTCTCTGGTTCTTGTGTCTGTCAGTTTTGCACAGATTAACCCGTGTTTGGTTGGAACCCATTACAGAACTCAAGTGTTGTGTATCACCTTTCTAGTCCCCATGCCATCAGGTTATCACAGAATGGTTCCTACCTTCTTTCTTCCAAGCTTGACTTTACACCTATTTTTACTCCCACAAAGCAGATTTTCCTTTGTAGAGGCTGCAACAACAGCACCAACACAACCTGCACTGCAGATTCTTCCACTTATTTCTCTCTTTGCTGTTGAAGCAACAAACTATAACATGTAGGTGTTTATGGTTCGCCTGGTCAAATAAAGGTTGATAAACAAATGATCGCAACTTTGCAAAATGACCAGTTCAAATGTTGTGAAGGATCATTTCATATAAAATTCCTAAACTTGTTCATTTATGTTCACTTTGAAAGGCAATAAACTGAAAACGTTATAATAGTTCTGCAAGTAACTTCTGTTGGTCTTTTTTATGAGTAGTATTGATATGTAGATTAGTTAATTGACTTATTTAACACCCTTAGGTTTGTTGCTGTTTGCACTTAGCTAGATGTGTTTATTTAGAGCCTTTTTTCTACAACTGAGAAGAGAGAGCCCTCAGCTGCAGTTCGCTCCTCTTTGGAATAAACAGCCAGCAGTAAGCATGGATGTGCAAGCTCATAATTTTATTTACTTGTGGCCGTATTGATTTCCTGCAGAATGGATGGGAAGCAAGGGAAGCAATGCAGTGTATAAAGCCTCTCCGAGCCACTCAGATTTCTGAATTCCTGCAGGATCAATGTAGAAGCTGCTCCTGGACTTTACACAGCAATCAATCCTCCACCGAAACACCTGAGATAACTTTATTCATTAGGTAATAAAAATACGTACATCTGTTTGAAAGGGTACAGGTCCAAACTGTTTTTCTCCTGTGAGCTCAGCTTTAACTTCTTGATTAGTCGTCTATTTTTCTTTTAAATGACCGATTTAAGGCAGCTACCAGATATAGCGCCGCACTCAGGATGAGAAATAATGAATCCAACCCCCATCAACCTCCCCCCACAAAATAACACACCATAACTCTCTGCAGCGACAGGAATAGAAGTTATCCTGAGTGGCTGTCTGAGAGGATATGAATGAGTTGCACCACTTTGTGCTGCAGCCCCGAGGAGGAGCACGGCCACAGTCCATCACTGCCAGTCCCAGGGACAATGGCTGAATTAGGACGCCTCCCGCCTCAGCAGTGCTGCATAAAACACGGGGACACTAACTCATCTGCCTAACAGGACCACTGTCTGACTAAACAGATGTCTGGTGCACACTGGAGCTTGGCATCAATTAGGAGATTAGAAACAGAGTGGAGAATTAGTTGATTCATCACTAATGACTGAGCACAGGGACCACTAGATAGTTTAAATTATTCTTAATTGCTTTTTTTTTTTTTTTTTTTTTGCAGTAAGCTTTTGTTCCACCTCTAGAGGAACCCTGGTTATAACTGAGAGGCACAAGATGAGTTGCTGGTGTTTTGGTTTGTTAAGATATGGTAAAATTACTTTTAATAAATAAATCCAAACTGTGTTAAAATGTAACAGATTTTTGGCAAAAAAAGATTACCTGTTCAAGTGCCATGAGAGTTTAATTAGATATGTTTATAATTATTGTTATTTTGGCATTACTCTGTGGTTTTTGTCATATTTTATTTTATTTTTTTATTTTTGGCAAAACAAGTGCAAATACCCATCCTTTTGGGAGCACTGTAGCTCACACAGACATCATAGAGACTTTGGACTTTACATAACTACACTGCGTCCAGTGTTGCATTAATTATTCATCAAGATCTTGCTTTGATGATAGTAGAGTCTGACCTTTTCCAGCACATCCCAAAGATTCTGCATGGACTCTGTGGAGCCAATCCATGTGTGACAAGGATGTCTCATGCTCCCTGAACCACTCTTTCACAATCCAGGCCCATGAATCCTGGCATTGTCATCTTGGAATATGGCCGTACCATCAGGAAAGAAACAACATTCAGGTAGTCAGCTGACCTCATTCTTTGAGCACAAACTTGCTGAACCTGAACCTGACCACCTGCAGCCCCACATCATAGACCAGAGTTAAACCCAGGTGGGAACTTGTTCTTAGGGCCAGGCAGTGTATTTTGATATCTTCAATCACAGTTTAAGTCAGAGAAAGGCAACTTGATGGAAGGGAACACATTTTTTTGTTGACACTGCCAGAGAGTGCAGGATCACCACCTTAACATGGTGAAGGGCTTTGAGTGCTCCCATGGTCCCGGAGCCTATGTTATCTGGGGCGTTAGCTCCTGGTAGTGTCTCCCATGGCAAACAAGCCTTGGGGGAGGAGTCAAACTWAAAGCAATTCAAAACCCTTGATGTAATGGAACATCAACTGCATCAGGAAACYTTGCCCGGAATARGAAAACCGGGGCACCTCCCTGGAGTCAGGCCAGGGGAGGGAGGGAGCCGGTGAGCGCCTGGTGGTCAAGCCTTGGCTCCTGGGGCTCAGCTGGGCCAAGCCTGAAAGAACAGGAGTCCATCTCCTCTATAAAATAGTTTACCCAGTGTATCTCTCACTGAACTTGTTTTTCTCTTACATCATGTCAGAGTGAAAGGTGCACACACTCTCTGAGCTCAGAAGTTTCAGTTTCAAACTAAAAGGGTATTTTTAAAAAACTTTTTAGAAAAGTAAGTTACAAGTCACTGTTGGGCTTTAGAGAAGAAAGCTGTTGTATATTGGATTTTCAGGCAGTAGCTGCCCTGGCACCATGCAAGATTTCTTCATAAATGACGTTTGCTATTATTATTATT